CCAGCAACTATTCTGAAGCACCATGAAACTCTAATTGAAATATTGATTTCTCCATCACGTGCAAAGCTCATAAAAAGCTTTTTGCTAGCTACCAAAAAGCTTTTTATGAGCTTTTTGCTAGCTACCAAAAAGCTTTTTATGAGCTTTTTGGTAGCAAGAAGCTTTTTATGGTATTGACTGAGATTACCCGGTGCACTGTCGTTAGGTGTTTTTATTCCGACGTATGAGCCGTCGATAGGTTGAACAACGTTCAGCAGATTGCTAAGGTCAGCAAACATTACAACTGATGAATGTATCTCTTCAAGGGTCTCTGGAAATTTTACTTGTTCATCGTGAACTTAATAGAGGTCGTTAAGAGCGTGTCCGCGAGAAAACCGTACAGAACCAGGCGATAATGCACAAATCACCGATTTAGCTCACACTTGGTGGAAATGCTACGTATCATGAGTTAACGAATGTGTGAAAATAATAGTTTAAAACATTTAATTCCCTGGGAAAACCCCTATTACATGCTTTGCATAATTAATAAGCTAACTTTTAATTGCTGCTGTGACAAATCGAAAAGCCGTCTGCAAATTCAATCAACTGAGTTGTGTTTTATATCTATCAATCTTCAGGAACAAAGAACTTTTTCAACTTTTCCATCGTTTTTTTTCCCTTACCTCTCCCTTAAGTAGACGTTTCCTGGGTTTGGCAAAGTCCAATCCCTGATGACCAACCACTTCTGATCAAAATCCTACATGAGCAGTGAAAAGCATTATTTGCCTTCTAAAATCGACAAATATAATTTTTGGGAAACGGATTTCATTACACGTGCTGACTAACCGCTTTTGGTCTGTTTCACCAAAATACCGTAAACCCCATCTTTGTTCTAATAACTTAAAATAACTTGAATTTACAAGAAATTTCCGAGAGAGTATCATTTACACCTGAACGAGGAGGGAATATCTTTGAATAGCGCAAGTTGAGCCCTTATTGAGAAATGTTTTGCAGCCATATCTGGGTTAAATTTTTAGCAAACGCAACAATCGATGATGAACTTTTTGACGAAAGAAAGCAAGGAAGAAACTTGATAATACATTCATGTCTCTGTGATACCTCAGTTGCAACTATTGGCCTGACATCATTTGTCAGGGAAGTAGCCATTATGTCCAAAAATATACTAGATTCGATTTGTTTCGTTGCCTTGTTGAAATATTAAACGCAGTGAGAGCCTTGGAAAGATCGATCAAAATTATTGATCTTGTACTGCGTAATACTTATGGACTTACATGTGTTGTTGGCAAAAAGATTATTTGAAGCCCTGAAAACTGATGCAAGTCAAAAGGATAATCAGCCATCTTTGATCACATCAAGCCTGTGATTTTGTTCTGTGGTTAACTTTGACATTCATTGGGTATGTCAAAACTTGCTTTGTGTTTCTAGCTAGAGCTAGTCTTNNNATTGTATGTGTTTGGAAATCAGCAATATTTATTTTTTCAGTAAAGGAAAAGGAAAATAGGTCTTTTAAGTCCTGTCACTGAGCAATTCAACGATCGAACGTAACAGATCTCAGACCAGATTGAGGACTGAATTGAATGCAACCAGGCCCGAGGTATCAATCAACAAGCCACCCTAGTGACGTGTAGTTAGCTTGCATTTACGTCTTAGATCCTTCTTCGTCGAAGCTTTGGACTATTTGTACGTGAACATTGGAAGTTCTCCTTCCACTTCGCTTACTTAAGATGAGAACAAATATAGCCATGGAGAAAGTCCCTGGAAATGGAGAGATTTCCACTTTTCAAATATTCTTTCCCATTTTAGTCTTTCATGATGTTCTCTCTGAAATTTGCTGTAGATTTCAAGTAATTTTAGGGCAAATAAACAAAGATGTGGCTCACGACACTTTGATGGTACAAACCGGCAAAAAGCGGTTAATGTTAATTTTATGTGAACAAGGGTAATGAAATCCGTCGCCCAAAAATTCCATTACCGATTTTGAAAGTCAAATGATGGCTTTCACTTCTCATGTAGGAATTATCACGGACCAGAAGTGGTTGGTCTTCCAAGATTGGGCCTTACATTACACATATTTTTTTGGACTTTGTCAAAACCAGAAAAAGATTTCTTCCCACCACGTCAACACTAATTTTCGTCACCACGGTCAACACTAATTTTCTCATACTTTTATTAATTAATGCGGGAAATATAACGCGAGAAAAAAAAAGAAGTGAAGCAAAACAACATGTACAAGGCCTTCATTAACCATCGTTAGGTACCTTCTCGAGTTATCTTATTGTTTATACACTACATAACGTCACAGAGTCAATACGAAATCGTGAGAAATATTGAGATGTTGCCTGCCCTGGCGAGAAGAAGATCTCCCTCCGTTTTCAAAAATGAATCAAAGCAGTCATGAAACTTCAGGTGACTCTTAATGCTTCTTCTGCATGTTTCTATCGCCTCACATAAAACATTTGTCAGGTTAGAACCACGCATCCACAAGGCCCTCCAACAAGTTCAGAGTAGCCACAGATTGTCATTACATATACACAACTTTGCAAAAGCGCACCGTGGTACAGATTATCGACGCAGAAGTACTCTGACTGTGTGTCACGTGAAAACGTTCATCTTATTTATGTATATCGAAAGTGATCGTATCAGTTATTGCGTGCTAAGCGCTTGATGTTTGGTCACGATTCAGACACTTGTACACAGGACAATACCTATCTGCGAAAATCTTCTCCCATCTAATAATGTGGGAGGCTTGCAGCCTTAAAAGTAGAACAACGTTACAAGTAAAAACACAATGACACGACAAGTATATAATGTGTTCCTACACCAATCAAGATGTAAAAAGTTCCCACTGATTAGATAAGCTTTGAAAGCTTATATGATGAAGCTTGAAAAACAATGTCATCAGATTGGTGAATGAAAAAGAGGAGTAGGGACGAATAAATGGAGGTCCCGTCTCCTGCAGGGTTGGGGTAGGAGACGTTAATTTCCCACACACGAGATTACTGTGTGATGGATGTCCTCCCCTGGGGTGGGATGGGTGGGATATAGGGCGCACTTAATAAGGAGCCTCGCTCTGTTGTGCGACCCTCACCACACTCTGGTGAAAGTGAGTAAATCAATTAAAGTGCTGAAAATTTAATGTTTGCATAACTCGTAGATTGGAATAAACAGTAAAACGACGAGATTAAATTGGTTTTATTTACAGAAGCAAATTCCCCGTCAAACCTTCAAAATCCAGAAAATTATTTTCAAAGTAATCGTAACAACTACTGTAGCTCCGAATGAAACACTTCACCACTACCAGATGAATGATTCTCTTGATTTTTTATTAAATTTTCAGAAATCTGAGGATGGAAAGAGGGTGACGCGTGATCAAGATGGTACTGGGACCGAGTGATTTGTTAATAACTAGTGTGATTGAATTGAAGTTCAGAAAACTGGTCGCGATAGCAAAATTCGAGAGAGAAAGTAAACACCGGTTATAGGTTTTCATAAAAAAAAATTAAACAACAGTAACTCGGCGAAATGCGTGACAACAGCCCACTTTCACAGGCATGACGTGTCAGCTTTCTTTTGACACTGTCCATTTATAAGCAAGACGCGTACGCTGACCTTTGAGCCTTTCACGTCATGATGACGTACGATTGCGGGCTCGGTTGGAACATGTTTTCAGGAATGGTGGACGATTTTTGAATTTTGGACGACTTTGAAGCGGTAAAAATTGGTCATCGAAGGTTTGTTTTGAGTTTTTAATGGCGAAAAGGGTTTTAACTTGTCACAATTCAAAATTCTATAAACAAATGAATCCAAAATTAAATGGGGGCACTTTAAATCGGGCTGGTAAAATCACGTTGGAGAATAAATTTTGTCATAGTTCTGGTTTATCCCGGAATTGACAAGTGACGCGTGGATTTTACAGAAATGCTCGCAAGTGAAGTTAAGATGTGAACTCGTGGCATGTAAGATACCGTTTTTATTTTTTGTTTTTGTTTTTGGTTTTTGGTTTTTGGTTTTTTTTTTTTTTTTTTTTTCATTCTGCCCGTGACGTGTGAATTTGTCTAACTAAGAGTGATACGGGATTAAGACCCCCTTTTGATACTTATGGAGACGCTCATGTTTTGGTCACAAGGAGTCAATAACAGGAACTCCATCTCTCCCCTTCACGTTCTTATGTTACGTCACGCAAGACGTTATCTCTTCGAGTTACGTGACGACTCAAAAAACGCTCAGGATATCTCAGGATTAAAAAAAAAGAAAAAAGACAGCAAATAATCAATGTGAAAAATTTATTCTATATATCTTTTGGATAAAAGACGTACTCTATCCGCTTAAAAATAATTTATCCGCTCAAGGTTAACAATTATTACAAAATAAACAACTAAACAAAGACTGCTCAACCCCGGATTTCTCAGTGAGAAATGATTGTAAGAGTTGGTTATCATAATTTTCTATGTATTACTAGAAAAAAGCTCCCATAGTTTTCTAATCCATCAGAAACCCTCTCTTAGAAAATGCATACCAAGACAATGTATCATGTCAGCTTTATATTTGAGAAATAATCTGTCAACCAATAACATGGAGAAAGCTGCGCATGTAATTGGCCTTCATGATATCGTTGTTAAGTGCCAGAAGAAAAAGTAAGAAAAAGAATGGAAATTTGTGAACTGTGCGAATTGATTCCCCTCTTTTGGGGCTCCCTGTATTTGAATTTCATATCTAATTATCAAGGAAGACCTAAAACAAAAAATTTTCCTTGATAATTAAATACTAAATTCAAATGCAGGACGCCCCAAAATTTGGCACGGTTGTGTTATTAGCGTCTCAGTAAGCAAATTCACTTTTATTTAATTTAGCGAATTCAATATAAGTTTATGTTCAAACCTTGCGACATCCGAGGGAAATGAAATAAATCCTGGCGCCTTATCAAAATTTTAAACCCGTTTTAAATTGTTAAGCGTTTACAAATATTTTCATTCTTATGACCAGTCTAATTAAATAATACGGAATTTGGTAAAAATTTGAATCGACAACAGAGTCTAACAGGGAGATATAAATTAAAAGGAGAAAAGACGTACGTGATGCTTCAAAGTAAATAGAAAAAGAAATAATGGCTTTAAAAGAGAGAGAAAGACAGAATAGGATAGAATATGATATGCAAAAAGATAGAATGGAATGATCTTGCTAATTTCAAGAAAGTGAAAGGAAACAAAATGTCAAGCTGTTTAAACTTTTTCTTCTAAACATGACCAAAGGCACATGCACCTGTTGTTTAATTGGAACTTAGGACTGACACTAACGTTAATGCTTTGAATACGGAGAAGTGCTCAACAAGGTTAAATCAATCTGATTGGATGAGGAGATATAAACGACAATTAAAATAGGAGCGTTCTTAGCATTTTACGGGCAAACAGCACGCGTAATTAAACCGATCTCTATAATTGCTTTTGTTGAGTGCGGTTTGTTAATAACTGTACTTTTGGCGAGCACAAACTTCGCCGTGTTTGAGATCAGAAGAAGGAACAAGATGGCTTCACCAGAACAACAACTTGAAGCAATGGCGAAAGAAATGCAGTCGAGAAGCACAGTTTTAATTGTACTAGAGTCACTGGCTTTCGCCTTGATTCTATTATTGCTCTTCGTTGGAAACGCTGCAACTCTATTGATTATAGCGTTCAACAGCAGAATGAGAACCACCACGAATGTGTTCGTTGCGTCACTAGCCATTTCAGATTTTCTTTTGGGAGTGCTTTCAGCGGGTCCAATCGCATTTCCTACGCTACTTCTGTCGAAATGGCCTTTTGATGATGCAACATGTCAGTATCAAGGCTATATCGCTGTAACCTTGGCAGTTGCGTCGACGCAAACGTTAGCTCTCATGGCAGTTAACCGATATTTTCGAATTGTAAGGCCAAGAAAGTACCAAACCTACTTCACCGTAAAGAAAACCCTAATCATGATTTTTCTTAGCTGGTTTTATTGCATGTGGGCGCCACTGCCATATCTCCTCAGTGGTTACAAGATGGTGTTTCACCCTTTCAAATTTTTTTGCTATCTCCAGATCGATAGCGGACCATTCACGGCGTTTTTAGTCACTGTGTATGTCGGGTTGCCGACTTGCATCATGGTCTTCTGTTACCTAAGAATATTCCAAACAATTCGAAGCCACAATAATAATTTTCGAGCTACAAGTGGGTCACGCAATGCGGTTCATGTGGAGGAAATCAGGATAACGCGAACATTGTTCGTAATTGTTGTTTTCTTTAATATTTGCTGGACACCTGTTTTTCTGATAGACATGGTTGACACCATTCGAGGAAAGTGGTCGTTACCTCGGGAGGCGTACGTAGCATACACCTTTTTAGCAATAATTAGCAGTGCTCTAAACCCTGTCATATATGGTGTATTGAACAAGAACTTTCAGCAAGAGTATCTGAAGATTTTCCGATGTAGATACTGCAGCTCACAAACATTTGTACAACAATTGAACTAAGGGGAAAGAGGCACTGGTTCTGTTGCTACTATGAAAAGCAGAATTTTTATTTATTTCTTTTATTTGAATTGTTATTATCGAATTATTATTGTAGTTAGATAGATAGGTCAGTTTCTAGTATAGAATTAACTAAATTAACTGATGGAAAGACCGCGTAGAAATAAAGTTTTCCTATCCTATCCTATCCCATTTCTTTCCGTCACTTACCCCATTGAACTTTGTGAACTCCACCTTCTTGTTAACACGTACTCACTCTCTTGGCTTAAATTTACCCTGATGCCTCGAACTTTGATTAAAACGATGGTAGATAAACGTCAACTTCTCATGAGCTAATTGAAAGGGTTAATCTTTAATAGCGATTGATACGAAAGAACCCTCGCGAACTGGAATTATTTTTCGGGAGTTCGAGTTCGCTGGGTTCGTCTGTTCTTTGGTCCGAAAGTATTCAAAGGAGGAAAGCAGAAGTATGCTCGCAATCATTTTGATTCCGCAGAAAGTAGAACTAACCCACAGAGGAAGTTATTTATTGAATCATGAGAACATCAATTGAAAATATAATGTCCATCTGCTGAAGAGGGATTTCGAACCTTTTAATTTACGTCAAATACATCCGATCTTTCACGGTCTTAACGAGGGCAAACTTTGGCCGCCGTCGAGTGTAGTATGAACGACTTTCCTTGCCCGTGTGAAGACAACGTTGACTAGGATCCTTAAAGAGCAGTTTTCAGATGTTTACAGATTTGACATAAAAGGTATAATAAATAAATAAATAGAGTTATGTTGAGAGATACTAGTTAAAAAAAAGAAAAATGTTGTTAGGTTATCGAAACCAGATTCAAATTGAGCGTTTACCTTACCTTACTGAGCTCGGATCTTGATCAGATTTTTACCGAAGCGTCAGGTTTACGTCTTACGACAGCCAACTGACAGAAATCCACTTTAGATCAACGATGAATAATCAAGCACACTGCACCACTCATTTATATATCTGCCCTAACGGCTGGTACGTGTCGCCAATTTAGGCGGAGGTCACGAAATCCCTCTGACCAACTAAATGATACTTAGTTAAGGTATTGTTGGCAGCCGGCTCAATAGGTCACTCGATAGGCCATATTTCCGGTTTTAAAAGTGAAAGTCGATTTAATTTTGTCATCAGTTGGTTATGATCATTGACAGATAGTTGAAGCACCCTTGAAAATAGCTACATACTGGAACATGGAAATGATCAGACCTCAATCGTTGTATGGCCAGATTTAGGATACACATTTAGCCTTCTAAACTTCGTGTCTGAAGGTTGGGGGAAGCACTTCAGAAAATCGGAGAAGCGTCTTACGAAGCCTGGCCGGTCAATTTTGAACCCACTCTGGTGCGTTTCCTTCCATAAGAGCAAAACTCTTCTTAAGTTCAAGCCCTTGCCAAATATTTGATCTTTTGTTTACATTTTGTTTAAAATAAAAACTCGTCAAAGTTTGTCCGATGTAAAGGAAATGGTGAATTAAAAATTGAAAAATAGTCGATCAGTGTGCGTTTCATTTATTTCTTTAATTTCTTTTTTTCCATGCAGACTGCGAATTCAGTATATCAAGACGAGATGAGAACAGTTCGCGAGAAAAACTAAGCTACGACAAACAAAGGTCAATTTGTCATTTCTCTTTTATCTTACGTGTACGTCCACGAGTACACAATTTTGGAGTTACGTGCTCGTAAAATGCAATAGAGTATTGCAAGTGCGGACGTGTTTTCCGGGGTTGAGAGTTTCCTAAACCGATCAGAGGCGAGGTAAAGCAAAAACAAAGTAATCCCCGATTGCTTAGGACACGGTTGAAATTGCTCAATTGTGCCTTCCGTCGCTGAAGCTCCTGACATCGCTGGACTATGATCGGACCACACGCCTGAACTTAGAGCTGAAAACCGGATACGTCTATGGATGTGTTAGCGACTTCAGTTAAATCTTCAATATGCATAAAATTACCTTGTAATCTGAATGAAAATAATTTATTTCGTTTGACTTGTACAACATTTTCATCCCAATTGTTCTGAAAATTTAAGTAAAGCGTATTTGAGACAGGAAGTTTTGTTACCTCTTTTTACAATGATTTCATAATGACGTGGGGGGCTTATGCTGGTGATCCTTCGCAGCAGCATAAATTCCAGTGTACTGAAACATCTCTGACACAGCAAAATCGAATCACAAGCAGGCACGTACGTAGTTAGCAAAATCGAAAGGCAGCAGGACGAATGTAAACATTTCCGGAAACTAGCTTCAGGAATTTTAAGGTAATTTTGGGAGGGAACTCTTTGATCTTATTTCACTGCAGGAGAACTCTCGATACCACAAGTGAAGCGGATCCGGCACAGAAAGAAATATATCTAGAAGGACGGGAATTGTTTTAATCTACTGAAAATTAATTTTCTTCCTGATGTTGATTTTGCCGCCGTTACCAATGTGGCAAGCTAAACGACTTTTATCAAATTTTTTTTTTAAGCAGCATAGACCAAATACTTTCAAATGTGCCCAGTTCCCTGCCATATCTCCTTTCCCCCCACCCTCTCCCCCTCTTTCGGAATCGATAAACAGCGGTGAATCACAAAGTGCATCGTGTTCTCTTCATTGCATAACACTTAATAGAACTATTTTTTTTTCTTTTTTCTTGAGAACGATCTTTTAGCAAGCGGCAGATGTTGGGTTGTTTTTGGTCGTCTTTCCATCACTACAGATGGCTCAATCTTCGCTCGATTGCGGCAATATCTGCGGCGAAATACTTTCAGATACTCCCTTCGAAAATTTTTGTTAAGTAAACCGTATATGATAGGGTTTAGAGAACCGCTAACTGTAGCTAGGAAGCTATATGCTACGTACGTTTCCCGAGGGAAAATCCACTTCCCATTTAAGGTGTCGACGATGTCTATCAACATTACTGGGGTCCAGCAAATATTGAAAAACAATACAATGATAAAAAGCAATCGAGCTGTCTTAATCTCTTCCACATTTAGTTGGTTTCCTCTTAATGCAATGCTATGGACATTATCGTTATGGCTTCGCACAGTCTCAAATATTCTCAGGTAGCAGTACATTACAACGAGAGTTGGAAGCCCAATGTAAACAGTTACCATATACGCCATGAACGGTCCGCTATCGATCTGAAGATAACAGAAGAACTTGAATGGATGAAACACCATCTTGTGACTACTTAGGATGTACGGCAAAGGAGCCCAACTGGAATAGAACCACGACAAACCGATCATGATGACAGTTTTTTTTTCTTGGTACAGCAACTTCGGTACTTTGATGAGTGGACAATTCGATAAAATCGGTTCACTGCCATCAGGGCCATTGTTTGCATTGAAGCAACGGCTAAAACAATGACAATGTATCCATGATACTGACAAGTCCTGTCACTGAAAGGATACTTGGATAACACCAGGGTTGGAAAACAAATGGGAACTGTCACTAAAATTCCTAACAAGAGGTCTGTGATAGCGAGTGACGCAACGAACAAGTTCGGAATAGTTCGCATGCGACTGTTTAATGCCACAACCACGAGGGTAGCTGCGTTACCAACAACCGAAAAGAACAAAATGAGCGCATAGAGCCCTGCCTCCAGGACAATTTTGATCTTGCTCCTCGAGTTCAGCTCCTTTAACATTTCTGTCAAATGGATATCTGAGGAATTCATGATTTCGTGTAAGAGTTCGGGAATTGATTATTTTCAGATTCATATCCAGCTGTCGGTTAAAGTGACAAAGGCGGTTGATCTAAGCACAATTAAGACACGACTAGTGTTTCATTTTACGTTTCAAATAAATTAATGTCAAAGTCGACGAATTACCCTTGCTCGCATGGGTCAGAAAACATGTTGTTCTGTTCAATAAGGAACAATCGGATGGTCTCGTAAAAGCTACAGATCGGCAGGTGTGTGTTTCTAATTGATTTTTCTGTTTACTCTAAACTTCGTCGCTTTGTGGCTGAAACTGAGTGAATGAATAAATGTATATTCTGCGAATGGCCTCATCAAAATTATGTTCGATATTCCTGTTTTTAATGAGGACGTCTCGGCTCAATTTTTTTTCTCTACGCGAGCACTCCTGTGAAACACAACCTTTTCACTTTTCTTAATAAAATATCAACTATAAAGGGTTTAACCACCTGATTTTGACAGAATGTCATCGTATATCGGGAAAAGCTTCTCAGGATAGCCAAAGAAGTTCAAGAAGTAACCAGGAGTTTATAGAGTCTTAAACTTCTAGCCCTTTGAAGAATCCGTGCTAAACTGACTCGAAAGAACATGGATCATGGACCGGACTCCTGCTGCAAGTACTTCGCATTTTGCATTTCCAAATTCCAAGCTTATAAAAAACGACAACAATCGTATTATTTGACTCATCTTCCGTTCTTTCTCAAGCAGATTAAACAATTCGACTTTCAATTTAATTTTCTTTTTGACACTCTCCATTTCTTACCCTGCCTCAGTATTCTTTGATCTGCAAATAACATTTAAAAGCAATAATATTTGAATTATTAATAACCTTTTCGCCCACGCGGATTACCTCAAAGGTGAGAGTTACTTGGTCTAGCTGTGCAGTGTAGCTTATCACCTGGCTCTCCTTTGTTCCATTCTTGATTAAGGTTTTTCTCCCCTAGTAAATTAATTAATTGTTTACTATTGTTATTGATTATGTGTAGATATTGCGTTTAAATCATTCATAACATGTAGCATATTTGCCCGAAGTCAAATTTACCTTGTTTGATTGTTTCCGCTCAATTTCGGTGCCTTTGTTTGCCACTTTCTAGCTATCTGCAGTCTTTCCGAGTTAAAACATTCAAAAGAGTAATCCTCAAATTTTTAATTATAAATATGATGAATTTTAGCGTGAAAGCCGAAGAAAATGACTGCCAAATCGGGTATCACTCAATATTAGTATCGTTTCGTGAAATAAATCTTTTAGGTATGACAGTTTGATAGTAGTATGGAGGAACAAAACGTTGGGTGTTAGCAAGCTTTAAATATAAACATGATTGGATTAAGTTTACTGATGGCTCGTGCCTCGCATAGCACTAATCTCACTAATCACGACTGGTTTGCTGGATAAATATACTAAAATGTTCTAAATTTATTTATGGGCTGTAGTGACAAAAGCATGCACAATATAGTAAGTTATGATTCATGTCAAGGTGTAAGAGGACAGAATTGAGCCTGTGTTAAACCCGTTTAATCCAAACGAATAGAATTAATATTGGCGAGATTGACAATCATTATTTCAATCTTCATCTTTTCTTCTGACATCATCGTCGACGACATTAGATTAGCCTTAGGCCAGATTCATACCAGGTCCCATCTGAATATGTAATTATCGTTTATGTCACTGCTGTTTTGACAAAATTGATGTTCCTGAGCCCTCTCTCTTTTTTAAAATCTGGGTAATCTTTACGCCGGGATGAGGCCCTTTTTCAACATCCTGTTGGCCACCTACCCCACATTCTACGTTTGCAGGCCAATCACAAACACTTAGCTTAGGACTGAACAAGAGTCCCTCCGGACAATGCTTCCAATAAGTGATCCCATTGGAACAATGATAAAAGCTGCTGCAATCGTTTGGGTCAGCATATAAACCACTGGGTTTTCCATTGCAAAACTTCTCATCTGGCTCTAGGAGACAAAAATAGTGACGTAATTATTTATTAGCAAAGGCAACCGTTATCTGGACCTCTCATTTCCACGCGAAGAAAAAAAATGAAAAATTAAAGGAAACACCAAAATGAGGACTGGATAGAGCCAGAAACAGAAGATAGGGATTGCCACCTGGATAGAATTTTTAGTTTTAAAAGACAGCAGAGCAACATGGTAGACAGCTAACTGGTCATGTCTTGGAGAAGAAAAAGGATCTAGTGAAGGAGGCTATACTGATCAGTCCTTACCTTCAGGGGGTTTGGAAGTGGGTGATGTCGGGGACGGTGAGGGTCTATTATTTCCCCCAACTGTTGTCGGAGGTGCAGAACTAGTTTGGACCACACCACCACTTACAGATGACCCTCCTGCCGAGGTGGGTAGCTTAGATGTTGGCAGAGGTTGACTGCCAGACGGACTGCTACTTGCAGTTGGCGTAGGCTGGGTACCTCCCTCTGTTCCTGAAGCTGGCGCGCTAGTTGGACCAATAGCTGTCAGTCAGGATGCATAGGTAAATTCAATTTTAAGTCAGTTTACTTAGCCCGGTTTTCGTGGCATAAAAATTCAGGAGTAGTTTCATTAAATGATAGCCCATATCAGGTTACCGCCGGCAGTTCCGATCCGGGATCACAGATTGGTGCGTCTAATGTTGTTGTTCATTAAGGTGTTTTGTCAACTACGGACAAGCTGACTCTGCCGGCTCAAATAGACTCTATTGTGACGAAAGTGTTCTTTTAGTTAGGTGCAATTGCAAAGGTTTTTTTTTTTCCAAACCTATCTTACTTTTCATTCAGTGAAGTAAATCTAAGGATGACTTGTCACCAAAACAGATTTTTGAAGTATCCCAAACGTTCCCCCCCCCCCCAATGTTTCAAAAACATTACATCGAAGGAAGTTTAGATTAAAGTTTATATCTTGACGTATGGGATTCTTTTCATTTACTGACGTTGTTCACTTTTTCCGTCTTGTCCATAGCATTTTATACTCTCTGGATTGCTATCTGTAAGAGAAATGAAAGGCAAGGGAATCACGAAATTGTCGCTGCTGTTGAGAGTTTTATACTTTGATTTCACAAATGGTTGTTGTTTCAGCTTGAAAGTCGGTTTGGTTCGGCAGGGAACCAAATTCTGATCACGGCGGCTAGTCCGAAGTATCAACCTTTTCCTCACACAATCCCCCACGGGGATCAGGAATGGTGACACTTCAGGCTACTAAGCGGTGGGAGGCGATCGGTTTTACTTCGCTGACATCTCAACCCCGACAAAAAAGTAGAGGCTGCAACTTATAACCACAAAATTGGATCGAGCTAAGAGATTTGGGCTTTTTCCGTAGGATGTCACTCTAAAGTTGCTTTCAGTCAACTCCCGGTCTCCAAAAGTTCCAGAAAAAGCTACGTTTGTGTTCTCAAAATGATCTCTCGTCTCTGACTGCTTTCGGCACCTACTTTTACTATACCAAAATACTCAAGGCACAAGTGGATTCATTCCCTGTCCCAGGCCATACCTTAATTGTAAAGATACCAATAAGATTTCCCTCTACCAGGAATGAACTATGTATATGGGGAGTTCACATTGCCTCCTAGAAGCAGCAATACCTGGATTAAACCCCGAGTACTGTAAATCCGTGGGAATATTCACGTCGTTTTTAACGTAAGGCACCGTGGTTACCAGTTGCTCGCCACTGATGCTGGTTATCCTAAACTTTTTTGGAAATTTAATCTCTCCCAATCCGCTGATGATAAAGTAGTTGTCTGCCGATCGTTTCATACAAACCCACTTGTTATTGTGTTCGATCTCCATACCAACAGTTACCACCCTGATAAATTCGATTTTAAGAAGAAAAATAAGAAAAAGAAAACGAAAAGAATAGAAATGCAGCGAAGTAGAGGACAGAAGGTCTCGAAACAGTCACCAATAGCCCAATTCCGAACTCCCTTTAGCCTCTTTGACAAAGCGAGCCCTGTTGCCCATCATTTGATGTGATAATATGTAAATTGAACTCATTTCACAATGCTTGATCAACAGGCCTCACCTCGTTTTGAAAAGAGGCCAAAGGGAATTCGGAAATGGCCTAATTATACATGGATTTTTGTCTACCCAAAGTGCAATTCTATAATTGTTTTAGCTAAACAATTTACGTCATTTCAATTCCGAAACTTTTCGGCTGTAGTTAGTAGCTTCAATGAATAGATGCCAAAATGTACTTATGATGTTGCTTTCTGGTATTTCAAAATAATGTTTTTATTTCAACTGAGTTGATAATGCAATTGATAATTCGTTTCCAGTTTTAACCCTTTGTCACAGCGAATAGCCCTGAGGCAGGGGCGGATCCAGGAATTTTTGATTGAGAGGTCCAAACTTTGGTTCAGAAAGGACTGTTGGACTCTTTTGAGGCAAATTACTTCTTCCCCACAACCCCCACACCGCCTCCCACCAGTCGCGGTTACACGTTATAATTCCTTGGCCGCTTACCGTTTACTTGGATTCATTAATTTAAAAGATCAGCCAGTTAAAAAGTAATATACGATCCTGCGGATGTAAGAATTTCAGTCTCAAAGTTGTAAGAGTCAGGTCTGATGGGGGGGGGTCCGGACCCCCGGATCCTCCCCCTGGATCTGCCACTGTGAGGGGCAAACGCTCGTAAAGTCAGCTTTATAGAAACTATTTACGGTGGCCTATTTACTTTATCAACACAATTGATAAAACAATGATTTATTTTAAGCCCTTCGTCCACGCAGCACCGCAGATTCTATATAAACTTCCTTCTTAATCATTTATGGTTTTTTTTTAGTCAGAATCGCATTTGACTCGAATGACGATGTATCTTAGCCTTCAGTTTGGTCATTTATAATTACAATTATTTTGGACGTTGGTGAACTGACATATAAGCGTTGGCCAACTGACATTAGACGTTAGCGAATCGACCTCATGCGTTGATGAACTGTTCTTTGGCGAACTAATGCGTTGGCGAAACGACCGGTTACCTTCAGGAATGCCTTAGGTTATGTTTTGTACAGCTCGCAGAACACCTCTACTCTCTTGCGTCCAATTATATGATTATAAATCGTTTAAGGAAAGGACTATACTATTCGTCTAATTCACTAACTCTGAGTTCCGAGCTTGCAGTTTTATGTACCAGTTGTGGCTGCCTGCGAACCGTAATTGAATTTTTCCCTGTTCACCTGGTACAGTGGGGCACTCAATTGCCTTGAAAGAGGTCTTGTACTTACCAAAGCCTTTTATGTAGAAATCAAAACCAGCTGCATGGAGTAAAAATATAAGCAAAAATTTAGATTACTCGCAAAATTCAAAATTTATGTAAAAGTGAAAACGAAGAAAAAGGAGGGAAGAAGAAGGCCAGATAAACCAACTGTTACTCATGCCCTTGCGTTCTATACTGCTGATGGCAAACACATAGAAAACCCAAACATTTTGAAATTAAACCAACAGTGATAGAAAGCAACCTCAATAGGTTTTATGCTTTTCAAACCCCAGTTTCTATAGGTTCGATTTGCACATTTTGCGCTTGGGCGCTCTGCTCGAAACTCCGAGTACAAAACACGGTTTGAGGAAATTAATCAACAATCTATCTTCTAGTGATATAATATTCTCGATCGAGCTTTGGTAGTTATGTCGGTAGATTTAGCTGTTACTGTTGCCGTGGTTGTTGGACATAAGCGGACTCGCTCAAGTTTTTACGACAGACTTATAACCAATGTACCTTGTTTGCATCCTCCACAAAGGTCCCAAATAGTTGCCTTATAGGTGCCTTTCATCGGTGTTGGCCCTCCGCTGGCGGAGTTGGCCTGTTCCCCGTTGGCATTAATTTCAATGCACATACCACACCCAAGGGACTTCTGATAGTCAGCTTCACCAGCTGCAACCAGCATCCAATCAGGCAGCTTGTTCAGCGGTGATGCAGGATCTAAAGCGCATGCTCCACCTCCAGGGTAATCATTATAGTACGTGCTCTAACCGAGAGAGAGAGAGAGAGAGAGCGAAATTTAATTCCAGATCGCTCTTCAGTTTTTATTGGAGGTGGTGTACCGAAAATTGCCCTAAATTGCCAATGTATCTGGAACATTTTGACATTTGTTACTATACATCTCTTAGGTAACGCTAGATTACCACCAATCTTCTTAAGCTTATTGCTATAATTGTTGTCGCTGTTTGTTTGTTTGTTTGTCTGTTTATTTGTTTGCATTTCCATTGTCTGACTGCAGCCAAGACAACAAAGAAATCATTTCAAAAGACGATTCTAGGGCTTGGGCGTTCACGTTTATGAAACCTTTGTTGCATGTACCATCAAACTTTCGAGATGTAATCGGCTTTTCTAAGTCTTTTTATTGAAAAACATTACTTACATTTCCATCAGTAGCTTGCACATATCGACTCCATATTGCCTTCACATTTTCCATGCTTGTTTGAGCCTAAAATCACAAGCAAAAAGAATAAAATTAATTCCTCAATTGAAATCTCGAGCTCAAGGGATATATGGCACTGTGAAAAGCATAGAATTTTAAAGTAACATTTCACCAGCAGTTTGTGGTAGAAATTGGAGAGTTGTCGTCAAGAATAGGATATCAACCAAACACTGAATGGCACCACAAAAAATTTTCGATAATTTCTTCTGCACACAACAATGAAAAACTGGCAACCAGAAGGCCTCAGATTAAGACAAAGACCGCTGAGAGAAAAGGCTCTAGCGCGAGAATCGAGGTTAATGATCCATGGCCCACTGCCTGCTTACGATTCTGTTGTGTTTAAAAAATTGTACCCGCAAAAAGTTGTTGATTAATAATGATAACATTTCTAAAAATAATCTATTTGAAAAAGATATTCTGACTGACCTGAAGGTTGGTTCCTTTGAGAAGAAGAATGCAGATAAGCAACGAAAACTCCAAAACATCCATCTACAAAATGAACGGTAAAGGATAAAAAGAAAAGAAACAAAATAACAATTATAGTGATGATAGTGATAAAGATGATAATAATAATAATAATAATAATAATAATAATAATATCAATGATATCAATAATGATATCAATAATGATAATAATAATGATAACAACAATAATAATATGTAAATAGCGCGGTACGAAGTGCGGTAAGAAGCGCAGTCTGTATCGTAAAAAGCCGGACCGTTTATGGACACGAAATTAGCCAATCAGTTTCTAGAATTTAGGATTACGAAGAGTGTTGGATGGGAAAGTTTGTGGCTTGAGGTCACAATGAACTTCGTACACAGATCTCACCGTTTAAATGTAACTATACAACCTCTTGGCCGTGGAAGCTCTGGTACGAGACCGAGTCACTATATGATCGACTGCTTCTCCGAGCTTCAATCTATCTCATCATTTAAAAAGAGAGTTATTGGAAAATCATCTCACGTCATTGACATCTTGTAGGCCCATGGTATGAAGAAGCAAAAGCTTTTCAATCATGTCTTGTTGAAAAGGGCTTGGCATGGGAAACTCCTCAAACGCTTTAAAAAATTTATTCACTGTACGGATAAAAACTCCAAATGGCATCTGTTCAATTTACGGGGCCCACATGAATTACATGAGCGTTTAACTGCTGGTTACGAGTACTGCCGAGACTATTCATGAATGTTTACTTCGTTCAGCATTTGTCTATGTAAGAAGATTGAGTCGTACGAACATCAACTTTATATCACTTACCTGGTAGTTCGTGCGTGGCGAGTTCTTCTGCTTTCTGCCTTATCCCCGAGTTTAAGAAGGTGTTTTATTATGAGAGATTTCCATTAGAAGCAGGTGGATCAGGAAAGATAGAATCGGAGGATGCGCCTTTATAAAAGAATTAACCGGTGAGCTTTCTATCGCATGATTGCATTCGCCGTGTGGAGCATGACAGGAGATTACGAAAAGTCATTTTTTTTTTAGTTACGTACAAGCAAAGTTACTATTGAGAATCTCCCCTAGAATTTGAACTGTTGTCATAATGCATCTTCTGTGTGGAAAAAAGGCATATTTTGACATAATCTCCGCAGGAAAAAAAAAACATAAAAAGAGTGTGGAAGCTAAGATTCATCCAAGAATTGGTGCCTTAGGGCCTATCCGCACTAGCAGATAAAACTGAAATTGTCCCGACAAGATCAAAGGACAAATTTTGTCAAGACAAATTTTTGTCTCCTCTGTTGCATTCGCACTAAAAGTTTCGAAGCTGTAAAAGCTGTCAAATTCAGTCAACAGCCAAAAATAACACCGATACTGTATTTCATAGTAATTTATTGAATGTAGCTTTTCCTTTCCCTTTACTTCGAGTGGATGGATCTTGTGCCGCCGCTACTGCTTCATTGTTGGACTGGTAAAGTGGCGACTGGATAATCATTCCACCGTTGTAACTTGCACCGGCTGCAAGCAAATTGTTCCCTTTATTATCCTAAGGTGGGACATTCCAGCGCCTAACCTGCTCGCAAGGGTGGCGGCTTTAATTTTCGTATGGATTTAAACTCCAGTCACCAGGATTCATCTTAAGTTGTCTAAATTTGTAAAATCCGCGAGTTTCGCAGCGAAAGACAATCATAGCAATCTTTTGGTAAAACTGAACTCAATTCAGTTACCACACTGGTGTTAGCGTTTACGACAAATGATCGACAAGCTTATCATGGTTTTGTTTCTTTGGACGATTTTTCCAAGGTTTTACCCTGACAAATGTTGTCAGCGGTGCGCTTGAAAAATTGTCCGCTCCGACCAAAATTTGTCGAGTCGCGACAAACCATCCGCACTTGTAGAGTGTTAGTGATGACAGAAAATTATAATTTGTCTAAATAAATATTTTTTTCGCTAGTGCAGATAGGCCCCAATTTTAATAATAAATAATAATAATTAAAGTTTATTGTCTAACGTGAGGCATGGTTGCCCAATTGCTCGAGCCAGAGGCTCATGTATAAAACGGTTGACTATAAATTAACTCTAATTAAAGGTATATTATTAGAAGTACTTAAAACTTTATAGGTAAAAATATATGTTTAGAGTATGAATGATAATTGTAAATTTGTAGGTGATTAATTATAATAGTTAAAGGAGTTTAAACATTATGTTCAGTGAAAGATATTGCAGTAGATGAATATGAATAAAAATGACAATGTATGTGTATGTACAATAAAAGTCAAATACATGTATTACATTTACAGATTTGTCCTAGAGCGCTAAAATCGAAAGTCTTAAGTTTACTACAGAAATCGCTAAGCTTAGATGCTGTTTTAATTTTGAGCGTTCACAGCCGGGTCAATTGCCTTAAGAAAAAATCAGGCAAATATCAAACCTGGAATATTATTTTCTATGTATAACACTTCAAAATTGACGGCACAAACGGTAATTCGGCTCTTCCCAGAAAAAAGACATGGTTAAGGACCCTATTTTTCCCAGGTTCCCTCGAGGGCCCCTTTTTCCTATGACTCCATTTAGTCCTTAGTTTCAGTCCCTTTCGAGGTTTTCGTCACGGGCGACACGGGCTTGAAGTTTTGATGGCGGAAATTGTTCAAGGCGGATACTAGAGTGCAGAAAATCTGTGGAAGTTCCTTCTGTGATTTACTTTTCTAACTACAGTCACAACATACATACGACGACTTAAACAACTTAGTTTTTTCTCTTTCATTTGACGCCGTATCGCGCGGGATTTTTTCAGCAAAGAACAGATTCCTCTATTCTTGCTTCACTGCTTGCCTCGTTCGGAGAGACGATTTATTGACACCCACAATTTCAGTTTGCAACTAAAACCTTTTGACTTTTTCTGACGCTACAGATCAAAGGAAAAATTTTATTGACCAATTACGTATACTTTGTGCGGTTGATTTCTTCAAAATGACGATGTATCGGGTCATCAAAGTTTCGTTAAAGCTCATTTTTGTGATGGCGAGTATGGTCGTGATGTCTTCCGGTGAGTCCTAATATCATTTACGTTTCTTGATTAAAACTTAACGTCAGGATTTATGTTGTTCCCAAATTGTATTCATATGATGTTCGTTTCTGCCTCATTAACAGGAGTGAGTTTAAAGCCCTCTCTTTCAGTTACGTCGAAAGGAAGCTTGAATCGGGAACGAACTCATTTCATATGCTAAACATGCACGTAGATGTACAGTTAAGCTTCCTTGAACGGAACAATGACATTGGTTACGTTTCCTTCAACAGCGTGTCTTTTAGTTAAAATGTATGAAATTGATAAATCAAAAAGCAGCTTTCCCATCACTTAATTGAGTTACACAAGTAATACAAAGAAACATCACAAATGTACCGAACATGCAATGATGTCTCGTGTTGCCAATGTATTTTTGTCACTATATATAAATCAAGAAGAACGATGTCCGGTAGACTTGTTAAAAATGATGTGGTTAAGTCTGTAGAGAGATTGACTCACGGCAAATGTTGATAGGTACAGTTATGTTCCTTGTACATGAAACTTTGGAAACGTATTCCATTTTATGATGTGACGTATGTGTATTGATCAGCAACATAAACTTAAGAATGCCTTGTAATTCCCCAAGAAGGAAGAGAGAAGTGGTAAGAATGCACCTTGTCGTTAAATGCTTCAAAAATTGTTATAAGCTACTAGTCACTTAAGCACTGAACTTACTCTAAATTCTCAAGTATTATACATGTGCATGGACATGTCCAAACAGAACTTTAAGGAAATGCTTTACGAGTCTGTTTATGTCAACAATTGTTGGTGGAAATGGTACCTGTTCACACCAAAATATTTGTGTTGTCATATGTACACTAAAATATATATGCTATCATCAGTTATCAGTCTTATGTGATAAGCTTGGTCATAAAAAAAATTTCATTGGTTTTATCAATGAATGTGAATATATCAAAATCATATATGTGCACAGCAGTTTAAAGAAATGTTTGAAAGCAATCCTTGCAGTAATGAACACTACTTATGCAGTAGTGAAAATAAGGCCTGAAAAAAATTCAGGCCTATATGGGATTTGAACCCATGACCATTGCGATACTGGTGCATGGGAGCTGATCATTATATTTGTTCGTATCAAACCTGTGAAGTGGTGAATCAATGAATATGGACACATGAAAATCAAATATGTGCACTGTGGTTTTACATATCAGGGCTTGACACTAACGGTGGCCAACTAGCCACAGACTAGTATAAATTCAGTTTTGACTAGTGGTTTTCAATTTCCACTAGCCAGTTTGGCTACTAAACAAAGTGAAATTGTTGCAACATCTAAGATGCCACTAGCCACTAGGCTAGTAAGTTGAAAAGTTAGTGTGGAGTCCTGCATATTAAGTAGCGTTCATTACTGTGAGGAAAATACTTTCATACATTTTTTAAGAAGGCCACAGAGTGAGATCAAGATGGTAGTCTTGCTCATTTTTTGAAATTTTGAACTGTCCCATCAAGGGCTTAAGTTATGTTTTGCTAAATAGTGTTCATATATTAACCAAGGATGTGCAAAGGAAGGACTTTGTAATTGTTCAACTGGTTATTTTCCTCTCTCGATTTATTTATTTTTATTAATTTCAGCTAATTGTAGTGATCCTGGTATTCCTCATCATGGTAGTAGAACTGTATGGCCTTCTGGTAGATTTTCTGATGGAACCATCATTATTTTCTCATGTAATTCTTTTTATAATCTCACTGGGGCAAAAAAGATTTTGTGCAGTAAAGGACGTTGGAGTGGGAAAAGACCCACATGTCAACCACCAGGTATGTATCACTGTTTACTGAGAATTTGTTGATCATGAGAACTAAAAGAGTCTTGAACATGAGCATGTATGTGCAAACCTTGGATTCTGGTTTAGAGACCAGCTAGGACAATGCTGTTTAATTACTCTGTAGGATGCAAGTAGTGTTCAATCATATCTTTTCTGATGGGGACCTCTAAGTTAATTGCTAGAGGTCACAACCTGAAGGTAAAAATCTGAAAGGGTTGGATCATAATAAGTTATTTCAGGTAGATAATAGATAGTTATTCTTTGTTGATTCAATTTTCTACTGAAGATATGAGCTTATTATTGTTAGACTATGGGGGTAGTTTAACAGTCATATGAAATCTAAAGGTTCAGTTCATTTTTAGTAGCTAGGTGTGCATAACAAGACCAGGGCTTGACACTAACTTTTTAACTTTCTAGCCAAGTGGCTGGTAACAACTTAGATGTTACAGCAATTTCAGTTTGTTTACCAACCAAACTGGCTCATGAAAATTAAAAACCACCAACCAAAACTGAATTTCTACTAGTCTGTGGCTAGTTGGCTACCATTAGTGTCGAGCCCTGAAGGCTGTAAGTGACTTGAC